TGCATTGATTTAAAGTTGAACTTGACTGAATCTAAAGTAACAAAATAATGATGAATTCGATTGTAATCACAGAATCTAGAGAATATCACGTTTTATAAAACTCAATAATATTCTATATCAAGTAGAAAAATATATTGACATCATTATGTAGCGAAACTTGAACCAAAACCAGTAAAAAACAACAATTTTATCAATATCCGTAGTAGAATGGATGTTATTTGATTTAAAAAGTCGTTCTCAACAATAATTAATTATTTGATTAGTAAAAACGGAAGGGGTACGGAAGTATCATAATTGACATATGCAACAAACTTACTTTGCATTAAATGGAATATTTTATTAAAGGATGATTATTGTTCAAAAGTTAAATATTTCATGTTACTTTCTAATGAAATATATATGCATATTAATTGAATAAAAACACAAGTGACATTATAGTTTTTCGCGTGTTGAACGTACTTTTAAGTGAATTTATCCATAATGGTGGAAAGTATGCAAAACCTTAAATGAATTAAGGTATGATCCACCTAATGCATTACTTCCATGTTGAAGAGTATTCAAATAGGCTAGAACTACTGTCAACTGCATTGTAACTGAGGGGCGTGGGTTCAAGCCCCAGAAGCGGTAACTTTTTTTTCTTTTCTTTTTTTTTTTCTTTGAACATTATTTCTGTCTCTCATATCACTCTTGAAAGGAAAAAAAGTGTTTCATTTTAATTATGAAATTATTATTTGGTATTTATTGGCTTTTTTTATCAAATATGGTACCTGATATTTTCAAAGTATAATAAAATAAAAACTAAACGGTAAAAGTACTTTATATTTGACAAGCGCAACAAATATGCTTTTAAAAAAATTTATGCAAACTTTGAAAACAGCCCCTGATTTGAGTAAATTTGAGGATTATTTTGAATAAGGCCCTCAAAGTAAAAAAAATGATCAAACAAGTACTTAAAATGGGTGGGGTAGGGTAGCATTTATATACATATTTCAAACATTTTGAGTAGAAACAATAATTTTGCAGGGTCATTTGTTAGCTGAATGATATTATTTGTTTCTCAAAAATGTTCTATGGGAAAACATTTTTTCATTTTGATTATAAAATAGAATATTTATAGTTTCTCATTTCTGAAAAAGAGCCCTTCTAATAGCCAAGTTTTACTTTAAAAAATCTCCATAACTCGTAAAACATGCGGTAAACTTTGTTTAAATTTTGCATTCTTGTGTCTTAAAGGTACATGTATATAACTGACCTATGTTGTCAATTTCATAGTTCCTTATAGTGCCCATTAGGGGGCTCATACCTTAAGTATACCTTTGTGTAATTTTTATCTAGCTTGTTGATACATATTCTAATGAGAACTAGTTCTATAAATGTGCAATAGGGAAACAAGTTTATTTCGTCATCTCGTCATTCTTCGGCATGCGTTGAAAACAATAGGTTTGTGAAAGAAAAAACGACCATTTATATTCTGAAGAATTCTATATCAAAATATATAAAACAATAAAATGCAAAATTGTTTTCTCGTAGGAGATACCACGCGTCAGCTTTCAAGGGAATAACCCGACAGTTTCCAATTGAAGGTTGCAATGAAAAACCGCCGTATGTACACTTAACAAAAGTTACAAAATTGAAACTTTCACTACATTTATAGCAAAATGTTGGCTTCTCAGCATGACTAATAGTACAGTTAAGATAATATACTAAAATTGGCTGGGTTGTTTTATTCTTGATCGCATATCAATTTCATTTTATTATATTAAGCTTTATAGCAATCTCGAAGAGCAAAGCGAGCATTACGGTAACGTGAGTATGTTCAGAAATGTTGGTTTTGAAAACTATTACCGGCAGTACAGCAAAATAATGGTTAATATGTTTGTATGCTCTTCATCAGAGGCTATTTTGGTTCCTTGGGTTGTTATATTTGAAGCACGTTAAAAATCCGTAACAGCAAATTACCTGCATTATCTTTATGTAAGTTTGCCGTGAAACAGTTTTTCTGGTTTCCTGTATCATTTTGGTTCCCACATCCTAATTGACATTCGGAAAACCTTGTTTATTACCATCAATCCTTATTTAAGTTCCGCGATGGTACATTTCCCAAAATAAGACTCTGCGCGTTCACGATCTTTTCATGAATACGAAAACTTTGACTGATTAAAGTATATGGAACAATTTATGATAACTTATAGGCAAAATAATTGTCATTTTAACGCAACTTAATTATGAAATATAAAATAAATAGCTCCGGGTCAATATCAACTTCCGGTAGGCTTGTTTCACCATGTCCTTTTCTCGAATTGAAATTATAGGCTGACGTGTAGACGTGAAGTAAAATTGTGAAGCCGGTGGTAAATAAATATAAAGTTATGTATAATAAATTTTGTCCGAGAGCCCGATTTGAGGCTTGCCGGTGCTAGGGGGCGTGAGGGTTGTTGCACTTATTCATTATCCCTCATGTACAGACTCAATCAAACCGAGTCTGCATTTCTTATGTTATTTTGTTGTGATTAATGTTTTCGAGGGATCACTTTGTTTCCAGAATTTTGTCTTATTTATATTTAGATCAACGATACTTTGGCCAATGGTTTCCTGCATCTATGTGATAATGAAAATATACAGACATACAATACAGGTGGTAATTTTAAGTTCAATGATTGGATCAAGTAAAGAGTAGTTATAAAAAAATTAATATTGCAATATGCTTTTGTCCCGATTTAAACCTTTCTATGCATATCACACCATTTCGACTATGCAACCTGTAATGTTTTTTCTAGGAAAGAGTGAAACGTTCATCAGTGACGAGATGTTTGTTTAATGATGAGAAAGAGAACAAAGAATTTTCAAGGCCACCATATTTATGAATGGGTACCACAGATAATCTCAATATAGAAGTTTTTTTTTTCCAAAAATTAATTTATGAAATAACAATCGATTTCATATGATAATTTTTAAGATGTAGCCTCTGTTTTTTTTCAAAAGTATTTATTGGTCTTATAAAAAAAAAAAAACACTTGTGAAAAGTGTATACCACAACGTATATTTAGTTCTACAGGTACTGCAAGATATAAATTCCCTTTACTAATAGTACATCTTGGAGAAAACAAGACAATAAATGAAGTATTTCATGAGATAAGGATTATGTGAACATTGGGTCACATTAAAAATGTATTGTAAATCGTCTTGTCTGTAAATATTATAAACTTTGTAACATAGAAACGCACGTGTACTTTTCGTTATAGCCGAATAAGAGAAAAGAGTGGAAAAATAATCAGTAACATGTCTGCATTAAACATTAGTTCCAGTAGATAGTCAAAGAATTCTAGAAATCATACACGTGTAAAAGTCAAGCTCTTTTATTTTTGTTGTGACCTTCAACTTCGCCTGGTTGTTCTCTCACAGTTGATATTACCCTGATGAATAATGAGTATATTGTGTTATAGTAAGAACAATAAATATATATGCTCAATGATACAAATCACCTCATACACGGATTGCAGGGACTTCAAAGGAATATATAGATATTTTAACTACATTGTCATTATACATGTACGTGTAAAATATAATATAATTACTCAAGAATAAATATGTAATTACTAGTCTAGTAAAAATAAAATATGACCCAGAACTAATTGCAAAAGTTTTGAATCTTTGTTCATTGAATAGGTCTGGTATATGTATATGTCAGAAAAAAAGTTGCACATATAACTCTGTGCACAACTTTTTTTACAAGCGTTCAAAGTTCACGAATTTAAACTTTATATTTTAAGACCCGAACAGTACACCATACACGCAGTATTTTCCTATGACGTAACAATTTTACGTAGGCACGCGCGTCATTGAAAACTTGTCATATGATTTCGTAAACTTCCGTCGAAAAATAAATATCATTTTTCATCAACAATAGCGTTTGGATGGCAAAGGTAAGCTTGTTTCGTGTATTTTACATTTACTTTTATCATTTATGCCTTTTTACTTTCACAATAAGTGCCATAGTTTTTAATATTTTTGGAAATAAACAGCAAACCAATATCACCAGTAAATGTTAATATTTGATTTTATTCTATTCCTAAAATGAACGATATATATATATTTGTAAGAAAACGATGTTAATAAGACATATTTAATATGAAAACTTTGTATTTTCGACATTATATTGTTACTTTCAGTTTGAAATGAACAAATTTCACGATTTTTTAATCTACGGAAGACAAAACGGGACATATACGTCGTGAATATGCATTATTTTATTATAACAAGGTATTTTTATTGTACTGGTCGGGGACCATCAAACGAACACTTTTTGAACAATTTTCCGTACAAATTTCATATTTCTAGCCTAGAGACCTTAAAAGTTGACACAGTTCAGCTAGGTTCTTCTCCTAACTAATAAACTAGTTCGTTTATTTCTGATTGTTTTGACACTTATATCTGAGGCTCCTCAAGGAGGGTATCAAAATTACCTAAATTGTCTACACTACAGTACCATGTGTCCGGACAGATATGTACATCACGTGATTTAATTCAGATAAAAGCTTGGGTGTTTTGATTTTAGATTTTTAACATGAATATACAGTATTTCAGCAACAAATGCTAAAGTTTTGGATATTCTATTGTTTACTCTGCAAATGATTATAGCTAGTATATGAGGGTCAGGCAATGCTTTCTTTGACCCCCAAATTTCAACGTCAACATTCTAGAAATAGACAATAAAAATATTACCATTTACGTAGGTTGAAATAAATTTATTTACTTAATTTTAGAAGAAACATGCATTTATTGTTGATGAAAAAAGTGACTGACAACCACTGAACAAAGAAAATACTAAATAAAGCATTTTCGGGCCGTCCGGGTTTGGTGGTTGTCTTGTTTTGGTGGTCCCAAACCAGTTTATAAAACAATATTCGGATTTACATGTACGTATATATAAATTATATTTAGATATATATTTGCATTATTAAACATGTAAATGTACATAAATAAAATCAATACTTAATTTCAGATAGGATATCCATGATTTACACACCAATGGTCATATGATGATTATCTAATGTTCAGCTGTCTCTTGTATCAAGGTGAGTCATACTTTAAGTATTATCTATGCACAATTTCTATCTATAATATATGAACAATGTTTGTTTTAACTTGTCTTTTTTTAAATATGCTATTATGTGAAATGGACCACACCAGTAGCTCTTCATAGGAAATTTGCAAAATCGCTCCCGAGCTTTCATACTACATGATTGCCCGGAACCACCTTCCTCGGTCTGTTGTGATTGTATAACTTACTGATTTAATATTCTAAAAATGCAAAGTATAACATAGTACGGATATTTTTGTTATTGCCTACATTTAACACCTATGGAAAGTAATGCCGAATATTCAAATTGGCATTGGCCAAATGACGTCACGCTTTATTAATTAAAGTGGAAAAATGAAATGAACGATTATGTCATTTGAGTATCGGTTCATGCAAAATATCCTTGTTTCTTTTAAATACAAAGTTAATATGCTAATATAAATATATGCTAAATTCATACATGATTTCTCACAAAATATGTCTTTTATTTCTATAGATGATACAAGCCACATTACCAAACCATGCTGATGGAACAAACAACGATATGAAGGGCGTTGCATTTCGGTATGTTTATACTGACTACTGTATATTAAATAAATAAAATCTCATGACAATTTCTCTGTAAATATACACATGCTTGCCATTAAGTTTTCGGACCAAGGTTTAATGTATGTTAAATGCAGGGAAAAAACATAGGCTATTTAAGGTAGGCTGAAATAAATGCATATTTTATACTGAATATTTCAGAAACCCGTTGTGCATTTCTGATTTCGGGATCTACAAGTAAATATCAACATGGCAACAGGTATATTTTGTTTTTACCAATGTCAGATGGTTTATACATTCATCATGTTCCCATGTGTCGATATATTGGTCTGAATAGTAAGAAAATCAATACACAAACATATATAAAATAATATATTTCATAAACACGGCATGGAAATGCAAAGATACCAAACAAAAACGGAATAAAGAACAACGCACTTAGACGAAATCGAACCAGTAAAACCATGGCAACCACCTTTTGAATGTACATTAAACACGAAACCAACAACTATACCAAAATTTAGAATCGTTCAAGGACAAAAAAATGGCTAGCCAAAAAGTTTACACCTGAATTAAATTGCACACAAATGATAAATGAAATGACAGTAGAAGAACCACTATCACCATTACCGAACTCTCCATTTAGATTCAACGAAAACTCGCCGACACATACAATCTCAGATGTAACAATTTGCCAAGACGAAAAAGACGATTTTCTCTACACAAAACACATGGACATAAAGATCTACTCGATCTATGGTATTTTTAATTAAATAACAATAACTCCATAATAACTATAAACATTTATTATTACTATTTTCTAATTACTCATATAAATAACTATATACGCACAAAAGAACCACATAACAATAACTTCTATAAATAGATTTGATCACGTGACAAAAAGAACCGTCAAAACTGTACCTTAGTAGAAAATTCTGATATATCTGTACCCTGATGAAGGCTGTTGAATAGCCGAAACGTAGGTCTTTAATAAAATTATAGAAACCTGACCCACTTTGTTTCGTGTGTTTCACTTTCCTTATTCTTTTTATAAGTTATATACGAGTACATGTATATTTATATTTTACACTACATAATACTATTGTTACTGTGAAATAATGCATATACAAAATAATTATATATACAGCTCTGTAGATTTAAAATATGCTTTCAGATTCTACAACGTGCGTATTTTGTGCGCAGGATATCCAGAATGGGTTCCAATTGTCACTCTCAGAGAGAAGGGATGCAACAGTGTTAACCATACTAGCGATCTGAGGAACTCAAGTATACAAGTATACGAACAATTACAGGCCAAATTGTGCACCAAGACTGTAGAAGGGATTTTATTCACAATAGAAACATTTCAAATAGTTCCAATGTTAAGTGTAACCAAGTTAAAAGACCTTTAAGATCAAATGCTAACTTTGCTTTTAAGTGTAATTGCTTGTTCTGTGGTAAGCCTGCTAAAGTTGCATCTAGTAAACGTAGATGTCCGTCCTGGTAGAAATTTTGATTTTCAGGAAACACATCGTCGGAACCCACGGTACACATTCCGTATATACTTCATTTAATATTATTACCGATACATGTATACGGTAAATAGCCTGGGTTACCGAGGATGCAGGAAACAATACAACTCAAATGTTCTGAGAGAAACAATCTGTGGGGAAATGTTGTTTTAAACAGACTGTTGTCAGTTTTGGATTTTCGACAGATTCGAAGAATGTATATTTCAGATCAGACAATGAAAACCCAAATAGTTTGGCATATATATTCAAAAGACACCAAAATGTGATTGGAATAGAGATTGGTTATCTCCTACCATTCCTGCACGCTTTCTCTGATTGCGACAGTTCTTAAAATAATGTGTAAAAATGAAGTGTTCCGGCAAAATGCTGCAATATTTCATTCTTCAACAAACAAAGAAGAAATTATTACAGGTGGTGAAAATGCCATGAGGATATTATATGATGGAGCTAGGGAGATAAATTTGAACAGACTGAGATTTCACAAATTTGTAAGTAAAACCATGTCAAGTTCATCTGTTATTCAAGTTCAAAGCATTTCGCTACGTCTGATGCTGCGGCGCACACTCTATACCGTCATATTTTCAAACACAGACATGGATGGAAATGATAATTAGATCCAACTGAATGGGATAGGAACTTCTCGAAGGACTTCTTGTACCCACAAAATCTACCAACCCGGTGCTCCAGATTTTCTTTTAAATATTATATCAGATTCAATTGCAAAAAATGCCACTCTTAGAGATGTACCTGTCGCAAACATGACCTCGAATGTTCGGTTGGTTATGGAGAATGTCATTGTATTAGCTGTTCAAACTGTCGGTCCATTTCAGATATTGATTTTTGCAGACATGGAGGACTAGATCTTGTATCGACACAATGCTCTTAGAACTAAGTTGTCAATTTTTACCTGTTTTGTATTGAATTTTATTTTGTGTTATTATTGGCAATGTACATGCATCTGACATCTTGTTTTTACATAAGCAATAGAGGTTTCACTTTATGTTATTCATATAAAACTTTGCAGACAAATATGTTCTATATATTGAACAGTCTCATATTCCTCGCGATGTAAATACAATGTAGCTTTTAATAAAAACAAAAGATTTATAATAATACTCTGTTTGCTTGCCATATGAAGTAGTTCTTTAGTATTGTAGTTATACTCTTTTATCCAGTGTCAAATTATACTAAAATTTATGCACAATATTTCACATTGGTGTCTATCACAGAACAATTAACTTGTTCTAGCACCAAACTATGCGCTATAATGTAGTAAAATGTTTGAAACAATCTAATTCCAAATGTACAATAGTATTGTACATTTAGAGTTAGATTGTATATTGAATACATACTTATCAATGCTTTCTTATATTTGCTTGTGTTGCGACACACTGTTTTTTCCTCTAATTGTCAATGTCAAAGTTCACCTATTGTAAATAAAAATGTATTACTATACTGTCTTAAATACAGAACGATAATTTCAAATTTATAGAAGTGGTCTTATATGTTGTAGACTGTTATGTGTAAGTACAAGCATGACAATAACCCTACCATATACTTACAGTGATTTATGTGTACATATCGATGTGACAAAAATGTAGTTCTTGTGAATGAAACAGCCAGTATATTCGTGTTCTTTATATTTATTATCACTACATTGTTGCTTGCCAAAAAAGGTAGCTCTTCGGTACATTTGTACATTTGTAATATAGTTTTATTCCGTGTGTTATGTCAAATTTCAACAAGTGACACTTAAATGTATATACTACAATTTCTCCACAGACCGGGCATAGTATTTTTCATCTGTAGTTTTGGTAATTGTTACTCGCTCTTAATTACTTAGTATACTTACTTGTTGTTGTTTTTCTTCTTTTTTTTTTTTTTTTTTGCTTGAAACAAACAAATTATTCAAAATGCGTTGGATGTTCAGAATGTTAGCTAAACAAAAGTGTACCTGAATTATTCAACATTTATCTAATTTAGAGACAAAATTTACAATACACATGTATGTCCATTTTAATTCATATGAATACAGTTGACATAATTTACAAAGTACTTCTACATGCATAAATATGTTATTATGTATTGTTTTTACTGTAAATATACATGGAATGGATGGATGATTTGCTGCTTATATATCGGAATTTGACTGGTTAAAAATTTTAACATAAAGTGGGTGGGGTAATTTGACACCAGTTTGTCATAGAATTGCCCACCAAATGTTGTTTTTTAAATTTTAAATGCATAAATTTTTGTATCAATATGGACAAAAATTTGTTTGTATGAAGTTTGCATGTAATAAATATGTTTAACTAATATATAGAAGTGTTTTTTTAGTATCATCGGAAATTAAAAATTACGCCGATTTTATAACTGAAATTTAGGGGTGTCAACTTGACAGCTAGAATTATCACATTTCCCCTTCAGCAAAAGAGTGCAACTTTTTTCCTAATATCAAGCAGTTACGGTACCATCATAAAATACCAAAACAAAAACTTTTGCAATTAGTTCTAGGTTAGCTTGATTTTCGGGCTAATTTGACTAGACTATACGTTTAATCCAACACGTCATTAAACTGACTTTGAAATCATATAGGAGCACTGCAAAGTGCTTTATCAACAATTTCTTTTTAAAGAAGAATATTATTATATGCATATAAACACCGTCTTTAATAAGAATCTTATTCAATAACATTTAAAGTAATTATTGTTTTGTTCTTTCTTAATTGACAATGTGTATTTATCTATTTCAACAGTATGCATATAGTTATATTGATCTTAAGTCAAATCAAGTTATTCACTCAGTGTTTCACATGCAATGAGGATCAAATCTTGCCGGCAATTTAAAATAACGTTTATGCTTTGATTGAGCATATTGGGAGAACTTTTATACTGATTTCAACTGATGCTAATTACTGCATGTCAGCTGCAGTAAATTTTCCCGTACTTAATTTAATTATTTTTCAAGTCCTCTGGATCATTACTACCACTGCTCAGAACACACTCTATCAAAGTATCTTAAGTCCTATCAGAGCAAAAAGTTCTCATGTTCACAATCAGATTCATCTACAAACATCATTCTGTCAAAAACTGTGTTTCGTCTATTTGATTAGAGGGAAGTGTAGAGAATATATTCTAGAGATTTATGAGCTTCTCGAAGAAGCCGTTAATAATCTTGCCAGTTGGATATTTCTCATTAATATGAATCTCAAGTTTATATTCGTTACCTGTGTTGAGCTGTTTATTGAACGTTAAAAACGTTGTAATTTTTGTGGTGATATATTATTGCATTTTAGCTATAAAATGTGTTCATGTTACTGTTTTTATAAAAACATAGAAAACAGACATACGTAAAGATGATGACGTCAAACCTCAAAGGGCTGCGCTCAAATTAAATGAAATTTTAAAGTCATTAATAGGTTGAAACATTTTACAATTTAATTGTAGTAATCATACTTGAGACAAAAATTTGACAAAAATAAAGCGCATTACTTTGCATGAAAATTAGCGAAATTATAAGATTAATACGCACATTTTCAAAATGTTTGTCATTGGTATATCACTTACAGTGTGGATAATTTTCAGTTAGGGTTGTAAATTTATTTGTTGCATAAAAAAGAAAGGGCTGCGTAACCTCTGGGTTGTCTTTTGATACAGTATTGATTCATGGCTTTACTTTAAAGAAAACCTTTATCTGAAATACATCAAAAGTTATAACAACAAGAACAACATTTAATTTATAT